TGATAAACGAAATCAAATGTATCATTTGGCCAAGGCAAACCATCATGTACATTACACTCCAAAAACGCTACATTAGTATCAACATACTTTTTTTCAAATGGATTGAATCCCGCGATATCTTCCAAGATTCCATTATTCTTAAAACAAACGGATGAATTAACAGACATTCGATCAGAATCGAGGGATTTATCACTCGGTTCCTGGGATGGGTTAAATGGAATGATGGTAAATAAATAATTTATTAATTATAATTATTCCTTTATTCTAAACAAGTTTTTTATCTAATTCTTAATTATCTTTTTTTTTCGAAAAGCATTTAAAATATCATTATTCATCAGTAAATCAATTTGCGAATCATTTATCAAAGGATACAAATTTAAGCGACGAAGAACACAAGTTAAAAATCATTAAATATTTAAAAGAGTCTGAAAACTGTAAAACTCTCGCTACTAATCGAAGATTTTTCGCGATAAAAACCACACATAAAAAAAATAGACATACATTAGATAATAACGCTGCAATTAATGTTTATTAAATTTCTTTCAATTATTGATGTACAGATTTATTTTAAGTGATATTCAAAATGTTTATTAAATTCATATTGAAAAAAAGGAAATTTTGTAGATAAATTCTATTCCTATTAGTTTTTCTTTTTTTTTTTCATTGGTTATTTGCCTCAAAACCGAATTTACTGCATGAAATTACTATACAATATCGGTTATATTTTTGTCTCAATTAAGGACAAATTTGAAAATCGAGTTTTATCTAAAAAGTTTCTCAATGATTAGTAATCAAATTTAATATTAATTTTTAATCATCATCGTCGATACAAATAAACTAAAATTCGTTCTAACCTTAAATTGATATCACAAAAAATTTTTAAAGAATGATTGACTAAATGAAGTTTCATAAGTAGCGGTTATTTTATCAAACGCAAATATAATAGTTGGTCTATCATTTCTTTTTGGCTATCATCTTCGCCACTTGTCCTAATATTTATATCGGCTATCTTGGGCAAAAGCATCTCTTCATCTTTTTTTCCTTTCGCGTATTATTTTTCTTTTTTTTTTAAAAAAAAAAAAAAATGTCTTTTTGGTCCAGTTCTTATTACTTAAGATACTGTGCCATTCAACATTCACATGTAAAAAAAAACACCTTTTTCTTTTTACAATTTCAACCTCTCTTTAAATAATTACACAAAATGATAAAATCCGTAGCATCATTATTTAAGACAACTAGCACTAGTACCACTTCCACAGCGGATATTAAAACGGATATTACTTCTTCAAATACTATCAATACTGTTGAAAATTCTACCGTTACTGTACCAAAAGAAACAACGAATGACACTCCTTTAATACATCTAGTAAGACAACAGCGACGACAAAAGTTAGAAGAAACGGTATTAATACGCAAAATTGCTCATCAATCGGTAACGAATTATTACGAACAGGATCATTTACCTCTTTCACATGTACAAGAAAAGTTAAAAGACGACGAGGCTCCTTTGGTACAAGTACAACAACAATTGGAGCAGCAAAAAAATGACGCAGTAATTTATACCGCTACCAAGGAAAAATTAAAATCAATATTTTATAATCAAAGAATGTCGTACAGCTTTTTAACTAAACCAATACAATCTAGACACACCATACCTACTTCAAGCGCTAATACTAGTAATAATTCTACCGAAAGTAATTCTACCGCCAATAATGACGTTGATGATAAAGATTATGATGTTTGGGATGATGCAGTTATCGGTCGTATTATGAATTTAGTTGATACTATTGGAGTAGATTCTCAAGGAACCACTCAAGAGACCGAGGATACTTCCTCTGAAAATCCAATTGAAAATGTGACAGAAAAGGATGGTTCAAAAGATAATCCAAAAGAAGAACCAATGATTTTCATGAATGCTCGAGAGAATAGAATCGAATCAATGACGGAAGGTTTGATCAATTTTGAAGAAATAATTAGCGATAATCTTAAACTTTCTTCAAACGAATCAGCAGAAGAAAAGGATAACACCGTTTCTAACGTTAC